CGCATTGCCAGACACCGTGGAAACCAAAGAAGATGCCGCTCGTCTGCTTAGTAAACGGCTCAGCGATATCTCTACGCACCAAATCTGGGTGTATTCCCTCGCGCTGACTCTGAATTATTGGGAGGACCCTCCCACTAAAGTGGCAACTGTTATGTTCGATGTTCCCCCTTCGCTTGTCCAACGCAATCCAGAAAGCCGGGCGTGGCATATTCCCGCCAGGGGCCATGATCGTAATAGCCCAGATCTCATATTAGATACCCACTTTATAGGTCTGACACCCTTGAATGATACAAATCACTTGCAAAACTCGTACGAGTAAGGACTGCCATGTCTTTTCAACATGATCGGCGTTTGACCATTGGTTAGTTGCATCGCTATCTCAGGACTAGCAAGCCACCCTTTCGGATCCTGGCAGCGCAAGGGAAGTAACAAACGCTTCATGTGGATTCGTGATAATCTACCCAAGTCTGTGCGAGGAATCCGAGCCATACTTTACGGGTATGACACTGAGCTTGACGGCAGCAGCTCATTCCAGACCATCAACGACCTCGCCAAGCAGCTCATCGATCAACTCCAAGCCCACCGGGTCCCAGAGTCGGTAACGCCGCTGGTATTTCTCGCCCATAGTCTGGGAGGACTGGTCGTTAAGCAAGCTCTACGAGACCTGGCCGAAAATTACCCGGGAAATGAACATCAGGCCCTCCTGAGTGCTGTACGCGGAGCAGTCTTCTTCGGCGTCCCAAATTTGGGCATGGAGCACAGTGAATTGGAAGCCATTGTCCATGACAAACCTAACGGGGTTCTTATTCGAGATTTATCTACAACATCCAACTTCATCCACCAACTCTCAGAGGCGTTCTCCACCAATCACTTTCACGAACGATTCAAGTTTTTTTGGGCGTATGAAACAAGTGTGTCGCCCACAGTTGTTGTATGTAATCATCGTAACCAGTAATCAGCATAAACCGCTATACCACAAACTGTGAGCTAGTTGCTGACCAGCAGCAGAGGAAAGCAGACAATCGAGTAACCAGAGATGGGCCTACGGCCATTCTGGTGAACAAAGATTCAGCAACATGCGGGTTCATTAACACTAGATCTGCAATAACGTTTGCAATCAATGAATCACACTCCAATATGGTGAAGTTTGATCAAGGTTCTCAATATTACTCAACTGTGCGCTCAAAGTTATTGCAAATTCTAAAGCCCGATCCTCAGCCACAACATGACATTGCCTGTGATGCACAGAGTAGCAGCGTGTCACACACTGTCCCTGATGATGTGATACAGCCTCTCTACCAGGATGATTTAGCAGACAGTGCTAAATCAGCAGCTGAGAGCCTTCTGCTGCAGCCGCCACCACGCAGCATGCTTGGTAAGCGAAATGCCATAAGCCTCCTCTAGTTCGATCACCCACTCATGTCTCATGATAGCGGAGCTAGACAAGTTCAAGAACGTATCGAAACTCACCGAAAGCGAAGTAAAGACTTTGGTTGGTACGACTTTGAGTGTCCTTCAGCATACAATCGGTGGAATACAAATGCAACAGGAACTCTCCAGAGACATGATGTACATGGGACGACTAGAACCGTTTTTGGTATCGATGGAACAGTTTGGCCAGCTGGCGGAAGATATCAGACTATTCTCCAATAACTCTGATAGCATTGCGTACGTATGGGTAAGGTGGATTAAGATGTTTATAATATGAATCGTGCTATGAACTGGGCTGACCCTAACGTAGGGTTCAATGAAGTATATCCTTGAGGTACGTGAGGAAACGCGCCCGGGCTCTTAAAAATCTTCTGACAGATGCTCTATCATTCCTAGACAACATGCGAGCATTCAAAAGCATTCGATTCCATTTTGAATGCATACCAGTCAATTGGAGATGAGATGCCAAGACTTCGCCCGTACCAGGCTCTTTTTATTGAATGTCCTCACTTGAGAGATGTTCTAGTAATGATCTACAAGGATGTTCTTCTGTTCCACGCTGAAGTAATCCGGCACTTAAAACATCGGCGTGGGTATCATCGCCATTAACACTAGCTTATAACAGAGGCTGATCTAAACTAGAATGGGATCAGCTGTTCCATGCCTGGATGAGAGTCTTTACTATCAATATCGACGATATTGCGGAGAGAGCTGCGAGAAACAAACGGCTTATTGATAATAGAGTCTCTCTCGTGGAGTTTGAGGCAATCAGAAAAGATGATTTGATATCCGCACGTGCCTTTGAACGTGAGAAGGAGGCCATGGCGAAGGTCCACAGAGATACGGTCGAGCACTGGCTTTCCGCAATCGACATCAAAGCAGAACACCGCATTCATCAAGCCAAGAGACGAGTTTGTCAAAATCCCGGGCACTGGCTACTGAATAGCCCCGAATTAAAGACATGGTCAAGCATTGAGGATCAGTTGAACCCACTACTCTGGCTCAGCGGGATCCCGGGAGCAGGTATGTAACGGGCTCAGAAAAACCGCTTGAGAGTGGGAAAGGGGCGAGAATATGATGCTAAAAATTATCTCCAGGCAAGACCGTTCTCGCTTCTATCGTGATTGACGAGCTTTCCAGACTTCCGGGAGCAATTGTCGCGTATTTCTATTGCAAGCATGGCGATGAGAGACGTAACTCCGTTGATAGTGTTACGAGGTCGATCTTGGCACAAGTCCTTGACCAGAACCCTGATCTACTGCCATATTATTACGAAAAAGCTCACATGAATGCCTCATTGACGTCATCCACAGTCTCTGAGCGACTGTTATGCACGTCTCTCAGGAGTTGTAGGAGGGTCTATATCGTACTTGATGGCTTAGACGAATGCGGGCGCGCTGCCAGAAAGAATATTGTCAATCTGTTTCGTCAAATGGTTGAACAAACGGTGATAGATGCGGGCTTCATACGGTGTCTGTTTGTCAGCCAGGAAGACGGTGCGGCTGCGGAAGATTTTGAGGGCATCGAATGCATCAAGATCGGACAGCGCAATTTTGAAGATATTTCGGCTTTTGCCCGCGTATGGCAGCAGACTATAGTCACCAAGTTTGGGGGAAACAATCGACTCCTGCATATTCAAGACCACATAACAAAACGGGCTAAGGGTAAGATACTCAAGGGATTCCATCAATTAAATGGGATGTCGGATGTCTAACCCCTTGCTTAAGGGATGTTTATCTTCGCCGAACTATTCGCGAAATATCTTGAGGAGCGTCTGAGTCTTGAAGACATCGAAGAACAACTTCGTCCCGACAATCTGCCGGTGGAGTTGGATGATCTGTAGGTTCTAGCTCCGCGGGCTTTCCAACGTTGGGCTGACTGTTTGCCACAAAGCTATGAGCGGATTCTTAGTCGCATCCAAGAAGTGAGAGACGTTGAAACTATGAAGCGCATCAAGGAAATGCTAGGTTGGATTGTCTGTGCTCGTCGGCCACTACGATGGGAAGAGATACAGACCACAGCCTGTATCAGCCCTACGCATGGGAATTTTGATGTTCGCAGACGACTAGTCGATTCACCAAGGGAACTGTTCGCCTCCATTGTCGAGTATCATTTTGATGGCACAGTTGATCTTGTACATGGTACTGCACGGAAGTAAGGTATCTCATATGGAGCACATACTATCTTTTACTGACTGCGCTAGGTATTTAACGAAAGGAGGGTTGGAAAGAGGCCTCAGAAAAGAGCCGGTGGTAAGAGTCCACCAGGCTCATTATTCGCTAGCAGTGCGCTGTCTCACGTACCTCTCGTTCCCTCACTTCGATCTCAATCGAGCTGAACATGATGTCAAGTCGGATATGCTTGACGGGTTTCATCAGCTGTATGACTATGCGTCTGCTTGCTGGGCTATGCACCTGGAAGGGGGGATTTTGGGTCTTGAAGAGGGAGACCTCACTCGTCTATGCGAGGCACTGAAAGGAGTAGTTAATCTGCACTGGTCTGAGTCACACAAGCCCATTCAACATGTCGAAAGAGTGTGCGCACTCTTATCACCTTTCAACGCGATTGAAACCACGGAATCGAAGGATCACAACCAACTAGTTCAAGCGGTCGCTTGGGCCAGGAAGCAGTCTGGCCAGTCTGGAATAGGCCCCTGTGACGAGGAGGCGCTCGCTTTGTGGAAGGTTACAGCCAGAATCAGATCCGTGTTGGAGAATATTGACACTAAGGGTGATGAATTCAAGACAATCAAACGTCTCTACGGCGTGAACCGGTTCAAGTGCCCTAGAGTCAACTGTTACTACTATCATCACGGCTTCCGCTTTCTTGACCAGCGGAACCGACATGCCAAAAGGCACACCCGACCGTACCTCTGCGTTGTCGCGGGCTGTCCGATGGAGGTCTTTGGTTACGCGCTGGAAAAAGAATTACAGAAGCATCTGTTTGACGTGCATCATATCAACGATGCCAGTGATGGAGATGAGCCAGACTTTCCTAACCCTATAAGAGAGAAAACATCCAAGTCCGGAAGAGTTGAGGGAAAGTTCAGATGTACCGACTGTGATAAGACTTTTACCCAAAAAAAGAGTCTGAATCGACATCAGAGAAGTCATGCTAGTGAGAGGTCTTTCCTTTGTACCACTTGTGGCAAACCCTTCACACGAAAAGAAGACTGCGAGCGCCATCAGGGTGTACATAGTAGCGACAAGCAACAGTACGTCTGTGCTGGAACTCTCAAGGATGGGACAAAGTGGGGATGCAATAAGTCATTCGCCAGAAAAGACCATTTCAAAAACCATTTCCGGCCAGAAAAGAAAAACAAGTGCATCTTGCCTTGGCTGCGGGAGAAACAAGCAGCTGGTGATGTCGATGGAAAATATCTGGATGGCAACGTGTTTGCCGATCAAAAGGGGGCCAATGCCGAGGTCCTGCTCATGGCCGGGCAAGACTTGCCCCCGTTTCGCGTCTTTTTGGAAAGATGCGGCCTTTGACGTTGTATGGGCTGGGTTGGACTTGGTTATTGATGATGTTGCATCTCACTACGCTAAGAGCATAGCATGATGTCCCTTCTACCGTATTTCGCGCCCATCCAATGAGAGCTGCAATTTTCGTAACTGACCACTCTCGATTATCTATATATGGGTAAGCGACTCTGGTGGTTGACAGACAGGCAGTAGACTCATTCTTTGTTGTTCTGATGGGACGAATTCTGGAGACTCACCTTTTCAACTGTCCCCTCCATCACATAGCGAATAACAAAAATCTTCTTTCCCTGGCCCCAACGCAATGCGCGCCCAATTGCCTGACTCTCCACTGACGGATTCCACTGCGGTTCCAGTATATGAACCCGGCTAGCGACGGACAAGTTATTTAGGCTATGTTCAACTCCGTCAGCCTGCGAGCTCTCTATTGACCGGTATACAGTACTGAGCGCGCACGCAAGACCAGAAATCAAAAACACGGGTTTTGTGTCATTACTTACCCTACAGCACCCGTCCCTATAGTCATCAAAAGCACCCGGACAGCTGGATTGTTCTGGAACTCCTCCAGCATAGTCCGCCGTTTCATCGGACTCATGATGCCATCGACTCGGCAAAATACAATGCCGTTTTGGTCGAACATTCCACTCAAAACATCGAGACTTTGTCTCCAGAAAGAGAAGACTATGCTGATTGGTTTTGCATAGCTGCTTAGCAAGGGGCATACAAGACAGGGGGAAGAATCAGATGCGCTGCGGATATTTTGGGTATACTTACCTCTTATCCTCCAAATAGTGTTCTCGTATATCCGTGAGTAAAGTCATTAATTTTGAAGGATATACATCGCTGGCCTGTGGAGGATCTATAGGATAGAGCAAATCTTGCTCAGTGCTAATGGTCTCCTCACTGTCGATCATTTTATCATCGGATGTTGTAATCGTTGTAGTTGTTATTGCAGTCGAACTCTGAAGGTCATTTGAACTCTGTTCATCCTCCCTCAGACTTGCCTTTAGACAAGCACATGTTTGGCATTCCAGCACACGGTGGTGACTGGATGAGAGCCAGGTATCCAACGAGGGCGTTGTACTCTTACCTTCGTCATCGTCATCCGGATCTAACGTGAGTATCTCCATATTACAGATAGAGCACGTATTCTGGCCACTCTGCTGCAGTAGCGTGACTATTTCGTCTGAAGACAACTTCTGAGCGTCACTGCCATAATCAGCCCTTCCGCCCAGAAACACACTTCTCAGACCGGTGTTGCAAAACATGCGCAACCGCAATTTAGCTGTCAGAATCAGCTTATCTGCTCGTCCTTTCGAGGTTGGCATGTTTGTTGCAGCTTTAAGCCGCCTGTCGTAAGCCTTGATCAGCTCATCGTAGACTCTGCGTTCGGCCTCCGAGAACGACGGACGATATGTGATGAAAGTGCCCCCGAGAGCCGGAAATACCGTTGACATTTTACGTCTTAGGCAGATGACTGAGAGAAGACACTTGAGGTTGGCGTAGTTAGGTTGGACACTACGAGCGGATCTAGACGACGCTTTTGTCATGTATTTGCGGAAGCCCACAACGCTGTCCAAGTACGGGATGCGGAGGAACTGAACGAGCGACGCCAGATCCTTGAGCGAATTCTGTATGGGTGTCCCTGTCATGCACCAGCGAATTGAGGCCGAAATGCGCTGGATCGCCTTGAACTGTTTCGTGGAGGCGTTTCGTATAACGTGAGCTAAGTAAAATGAGTCAACGTCTTGCAGTTATTACGGGAAACCATTTTTTTTCTGACCTTCATCGAGTATCAACCTGTGCCAGTGAATCCTGTTAAGTACACTTTTCCCGCCGCTGCTACTGAAATCCGCTTCAACAGTGGCATAAGTTGTGAGAATGATATCATCTGAAGGGGGCGACGACAAAGAGATGCAACGACCTGGGCCATGATATTTATAAAATTTCAGGGCCCCGGGAATGAGGTGCCTATTGCAGAGTTAAAAGAGGGTGTTCGCTAATTAAGGTTATCACCATATTCATGTTGTTCTTACTTTTTGACTTCGTCAATCCAACCGTGCAGCAATACTGGGACTCAGTAAGTCATGGTGAATAGACCCAAACGCTCGAACCAAATCGTAGGTACTCACAAACAGAAGGCACGACAACAAGTGTGGATTTTGCAAAAATAAAATTTGAGTCTGCCGGTTTTTCCAACGTTGTTATATCACTGGGTGGGGATGTCACTATGCTGGCAATCATGCTGAGAGTCTTTCCCACACCCATATCATCCGCAAGAATCCCGCCACGAATGTCCACGGGCTCCCTACTTCTCGTGCCAGTGATTATGTGCTTATACCTGTATGCTTTCCGGTAAATAGGTGTGTTGTAGCCTAGAGTTGAAGGTTTCCACACATACACATGCTCTTTCCAATCCCAACTTTCAAGACGCCACAGTGTGTTCTTAGTTCGAGAATAGGCTGATTCTCGAGATAGGATAAAGTCGACTGCTTCCCGCTGATGCCTACAGCAAGTCTCAGTATCCATGACATTATCAAAATCAAGAACGAAACCGACTCACCCTTCAAGCTTTGTTCGAATACGGTTGTCCACGTCTATCTCGTTTCGCAAAGCCTGCTGCGGAAAATCATCAAGAATCGCTCGAGCATCATCGTCATCATAATCGCAATTATCATGGCCTTGGCCTTCTCTACCCAGCACGTCGAGGCCGTCTGTATCGTTCTGTTTGGCGATCCCCAATATAGGCGGTAGGATCGGCCGGTCGAGACACGGCGCTCCCGCCCAGGACAGGTATTGGGGATTGCTGTACTCAAGGTCGGGCTTCGGTTCAGGATGCTGCAGGAATAAATGGTGCTGGGCGAGTTCTCTTGCCAGGGCCTGCGCGATGGAAGGGGAGCCGATGACGAGGACGGACATTGTACATGTCACCTTCGACGACCACTGAGCAGTAGCGGAAGACTCTGCTACAGATTTTATTCTCTGCTGGAGCTCAAACTTTGGTATCACACCCAGCCAGGTTGGGGCCTCTGGTAACCTTATAGAGCTGAGTGCATGTTGGGTTCTGGTATTCAGCGTTGCGATATAAATCCCTTGTTTTGATACAATATCACAACGGTCATCCTGTATGAAGAGATCTAACGAGGCGAAGTCTCCCGTATCCCCTAGAATTTCATCGAAGCATAGAGATTGCGGATCTTGAACGTGATTGATTCGTATTTGGATGTTTCTTAACTACTCCATACAGCTTATCAGCTACAACAAGTAGATGGAAGAGCCATCAAGGGTAAAAGCAAGGGAGGAAGGGAAAGCAGCGCCTCCTATCACGCACCATTCCAAAACATACTATACGATCTGTCTCATACTCTTGAATCCTTTGCAAATTCTGGACATTGAGATCGCTCTCTTGCAGGGCAGATACTTGAAGTGGGTGTGAAGGTAAGAGATTATGTTGAAGCACTTGCGGTCCTGGAAATTCTGTTCTTGCATCGTGAGAGATTGTCGGAGAAAGGAAGGGGTGTAGGAAACAAAGAAAAGAAAGCGCGATCGCCGGACTGGGAGGTGGTTGTCTTCTTTCTCCATAAGTCTATCGCAAATGTGCACTCACGGGTAGCCTGGGTATATGGGAGAGGAAGTTGGCCGCGACAGTGGACCTGCTGTAGCGCATGATGGTGATACTCCATACCAGAAGATCCACAAGGAGTTGCTGTGCCCGAATTGGAGCTGGACGTGTTGACGAGATGCTCGTCAAGCCTGAGCCGCTTGGTTTGAGGATAATCGGCCTCGCCGTGGATGCCATTATCCCCCAACTCCGGATCCCGCTTTGGGAAGGGGCACAAAGACATGTCTTCGGAAATATCCATATTGGTATCGCCTGACATTCTAATTTCATCGATTTCTTCTTCGCCAAATTGTGAAGTGTTGAGGTGAGAACGAAAGATATAATCCTTTAGCGGCTTATCGCACTGCTCTGAGCTGCGGCACTGCCACCCAGAAGTTGCAGCAGGGCACCACCACCTGCATTAACCGCCGTACACTACTAATCCAAGGCACGCATTCGCGAGGCTGAGTCTGTTGAAAAATATAATTGGCTCAACATTGTTTCAATTGCTTCACCTTCTGGCTTTCATTTGTTTGCTTTTGCTCCGCAAGCCTGCTCGCCGAATACATTTGAAATTTGGGCGTTGAAGGTATGACTGGCCTTAGACAGTCACACGGTTTTTCTATACACTCTCCGCTCTCTCTGCATCTGCCTATTGTACATCATTGTAAACCCAAGATGATAAAAAAACAACAGGATCCATAACATCAGCATAATCCACACCAGAACCACCGTGAAGAAAATAGACGCCAAGGTGAAGACGACGCAAACCCTCTGAAACTGCTGATTCCCCTGCAGCGCCTCGGTCGCCAGTCCCACTTGCATGGCCGACAACAGAACTGACATGTATACTAAAACCGCCAGGATCCACGAGAAATTACGCTCAAAGAACTCCTGGTACCATGTTGAACTGGGAAGAAACCCAAAAACGAGGTTGCGGATAGAAAAGGTCACGGGCGCTAATCGGTACAGGGAATTCAGGCGGCTCAAGCGCAACTCGCCAAACTCGTAGCGCTTGTTGATGATTGCAGGCCGGGGTTGGGAAACATAATCCATTTCTGTGTGCAGGGAAGTACTACATCTATCGTCATCATTCTCATTGTCCACCCACTCGAGGAACTGCCGGATTAGCAGGGTCCATGCATCCCAGGTGACATCACAGGGAAGAATACGCTCGTCCTTAGCGAGTTGGAAATCGATCAATCCAGTAATGAGCCACGCATAAGAGAGAAGCAGCCCACATGCGGCAGCGTGCAGTTCTCGATGAGGACAGAGCTCCCGCACCCAAAATTCGTGGTCCAGAAGATATTCCGGGACGGGTTTGATGAGGATCTGTCCGGGGCTCCAGACCAAGTGCTCATCTGGGGATTCCGTGAGGATAATCGCACGCTTCATCAGCTTCTGTCGATGCAGTGGCCGGGCTGCCCGTGGGAGGCCAGCGAGCCATAGCAGATGATGAATTCGATTCAACTTCGGCGTTGTGAGCTGGAAGTCCAGATAGCGTTGGAGATCCTCGCTGGGCTTTATCAACTGGTGCTGGAAGTTGACGCCTGCTGGGTGCGTATATTGTGGGGAAGAGCGAATACTCGCAGAGCTGGAGAATGGCGGCGTCACACCATGGCTCGCTGGCCTTTCTGGCTGGGGGTAGTGTATGGTAGGAGGATGTGGCACAGTATTGTTTGCCACAGTTGAAGACATCTTATAGGCGAAGATGGATGTTTCCTCACTCTCTCTTTCCTTTCTCCTTCTCAAGGTTTATATACGGATTTGCCTAAAAACAAGCCACGAGAAGGTAAACAAACCCCGGGCGCGCGAGCAGTCTTACTGGGCTTCTGGGCGAAACGACGTAGCTAGTATCTCATGAAGATGACGATTGTGTTGGCACTTCCTTAGATAAAGGCAAGGATATGGCCACTAACGTGGTGACCACTTGGAAGCCAGAATGGCTGTAGAGGCATGGTTGCCTATGATCTTGCCCCTAAGCAAGTCAGGAAATTAAGTGACTGCTGTAAGATCATAACTCCTCCAGCTGGGCAAAAATTGCGACTCACGACAATGCTTGGGTTGGGCATCATCAGGGCAGTTACATGGTTGTGGCTATGCCGGGCGGAGGAGGAGGCAGAGGCGCCCAGGTTATTCACGTGTAATTCCTTCTGTCTGAAGTGATTCCAAGGGCGGTGCCAAAAACTACCTAAACCGCACCGGGAAGTGTGTAAGCACTAGCACCATGCGCATGGTTCCACACGCAAGCCGACTTACGTGCTAGCCCTCCATACTTGACTGCACACAGTAAAGCGGCGGCTTCCGTATAAGGTAAGCGATAGGACTAAATTATGTATCAACTGGGTGAAGCCACTCCGATACTCATTTACACTGCTAAACATGCTGTTGGGACAGTAATCTCTCCGTCGCTAGTCTGACTAGACGCGATATATCGTTTTTGGTCTAGCGGTTAGCGTTCCGACACATACTAACAACAAAGGAGATAAACAACATACCAACAGAGTAAGTCTACAGTTCGCCAGAACGGATATCAACGGAATACAGCTCCTGGGTTGTATAAGTCACTCTGGGTGACGGAGTTTGCTATGGATTATGCCGGTGATGTGGGCTGTGTTGTTTTGTTATCATTTTGGATTCACGACGTTGTACCATAGGCGGTTACAAAGGGAGGGAAGAATGTATAGGAAAAATGTGTGATTATCCGGGCTGGGGTGGTAGTAGTCAGGACATGTACCGAGAGCCCATATGGATTGATAGACAAGCTATAGTGCGGCTAAGCAAACCCCAGTAGTTAAACAAAGAAGTGGAAGAAAAAAAGCAAACAGCGGAGGTAACTTTGTGTACCTCGTTCTTTGTTCAAGATGGAGAACAATCTCCCTATCCCCGGATCTTCCCTTCACAACCCATGAGAAGCAGCAATCGCTCATGCCTACTTAAGAAGGGAACTCATGCCTCACGTTCAGATGAAGTCTTCATTCTTCATTTCCATAAGCCTTGGTGATTGTACCCTTCCTCCGGGTGGCTGTGAAAACTACTTTGTGCCCTAGCTCAGAATCAAGTGTGAGCACGGTTGCTCCTTTCTCCTCCTCTCGGCATTTTACAGTCTGACACTAGTACCTGCTTCTGAGCTTTTCCGACGAGATGTCATCGGACTCTCTTCAGAAGCGAGTCGTGGAATCAGTCGACGATATCCATGATAAGGATCCCGACGGTCATCGGGGAAAGCGATCCAAGATTGACAAGCCCTTCACCGGCGTCTCCAGCTCCGTTCGAGACACGGAAACTTCTCCGAGCTCTCTTGTCTCTGATGATAAAGCACACGATGATTTACAGCCGAAATGCGACCAAGCCGGTGACCATTCGGAGGCTATCTGTGAGTACAACACCTACTGTCGAGCCCCCCTCACCCCAACCGAAGTCTAACTTCTCATGTTATGCCCAGGCTCTCCAGCACCACAAGCGCTTTCGCCCAAAACTTTGGCTCCAGAACCTGTCCAGGACCCTCCCCAGCAATGCCACAATAATAATGACAAGGTCTTGCAAAGCACTCAGGAAGATAAGGCAGAATACATATGCTTCGGGATGGTACGTGATATGGATCACCTTTTCATTTCCTCCTCTTCCCCAACCCCCCCCCCCCTTGGTTCATTTCTCTACTCATCAGGCATAACTAATGTGGGATAGCTGAGAGATGTCGATATTCAAATCCAGCCTGTTCTGGGCCGGTACTCTCTAAGCGTTGATCAATCATTCGGGATACCTTATACGTTTGCTTCACTCACTCTCTCGATAAAACCGACGCGGAGTGATTTTCTTTCAAATGAGGGCACTTGTATTGCGACGATAGACTATGCAACACACCGTCGAATCAGCTCCATAAAAGTCGAAGAGGACCCGATCTGGTTGGCTGTGATACCAATGAATGAACTCCGGCGGAAGATAAGAGCAGTGACAAAGAACTCTTCTTCAGGATCTTACTCTCCTTCCTCTTGGACGTACAAAATCAACATTCTTGCTATCGGCCTCTCGACGATTGCGAAACCCCTGGCAAAGCAACTTACTCAGCGTCAGCATGGTCGGCGTCAGTTGCAGTTGCGTTGTCCAGTCCCAAAGCCCACCCAGATTAGGTATTATAATCCCCAATGGTCGTACAGATTGGGACCACCGCCTTCCGAACAGCTGAAACCACCACATACACCGGGGATTGCTAATCAGAAGGAGTTGAATGGTTCTGAAGAGGCGGAAGCGAACAAGCGCAGACTTCGAAGATGATCGTGGTGACGCTCAAGCGGTCCTTATAAAGCAAATAGTCAACTCGACGGCAGGCGATAGCGTAAGTGGCCGCCCGGCAAATGCATTTTCGGGGGTACTTGGTGATGCAGCGGATGAAGAACATCATATACGAAGATCCGGGAATGTGAATGTATGGCTTTACACTTAAATTGAGTATTGACTAGATATTCTATGGTGTAGACCCAATGGCCGCTAAAGCCTAAGGCCGGACTGGACTCAGGCAGCAGAGCATTCCAACTATGTAACTACTACTCCTTACTGTAATTAGTTAGGAACGCTAATACCTAGGTGACATGCCTTGAAGTGGATCTATATTGTTTCCAAACGGACCCAGTCAATAAAACACAGCTACAAGGTATTCTCAAACTGAAGCCGCACCTACATGTCTCTTCCAATATATCCAGCTACAAATCAGCATTTCTAGTATTTCATTCAAGTGATCAATCAATCCACCGTGAAGCCTTTAGAATACACCAAGTATCACTTAAAGTGCCTCAGAAAACGACAGATTCTTATCTGAATATATTAAGTTGTATCTCCAGTGTAAAAGATCTGACCCGGCTTCTAAATCAGCGAAATGTGCCGTTGTGCCGATATATATGTACTACTTAGTAGTAGAGGTAGATAGTACTACTATCTTACTTTCTTTCCCTACCTTTCTTTCATCGTAACATAGCCACAACAATGCGACTGACCCCGTGATTAGCAGCTTCAGTTGGTCAAGAGCCTTTGTCGGCACTACTAGTTATTCTTCCTAGGTATTATAGAACTTTGAACCAGCACTCTGATATAATCCCCGACTCGCAGTGAAGTGGTGAAAGCAGCCATGGCGGTCATTCAGTTACTTCGTTGCCCCAAGTGACCAAAAGCGGCATCACCGGTTAGTAGGCACGCAAGACTTCTACTTAGCAAATCCCCAGTTATGTGACTTCAAATACTGCAATTAATACCTAAATCCGAATAACC